GGTCTGTAGTTGTTGACATCGGAGGGATCGAGTGTAGGTTTTTTGAGGAGGGGTGCAACTCTCGCTCTCTTGAAGATGGAAGGGACATGGCCAGCGGTCAAGGATGAGTTGATGAGCGAGGTGAAGTGAGGAAGAAGGTCTCCGGAAATGGTCTGGAGAAGAGAGGTGGGGATAGGGTCAAGCGGGAAGGTTGTTGGGCGGCCGGCCGTCACAAGTCGCAAGATTTCATCTGGTGAGAGAGGTGAGAAAGAAGTCAAAGGCATAGGGTAGGGCAGTGTGAGCAGGACCAGTGGTGTCATTTGACTTAATAAATGAGGATCGGATGTCGTCAACCTTCTTTTCAAAATGATTGATGAAGTCATCCACAGAGAGGGAGGAGGGAGGGGGAGTAGGAGGAGGATTCAGCAGGGAGGAGAAGGTGGCAAAGTGCTTCCTAGGGTTAGAGGCAGAGGATTGAAATTTAGAGTGGTAGAAAGTGGCTTTAGCAGCGGAAACAGAGGAAGAGATGTAGAGAGGAGGGAGTGAAAAGATGACAGGTCCGCAGGGAGTCTAGTTTTCCTCAATTTCCGCTCGGCTGCCTGGAGCCCTCTTCTGTGAGCTCGCAATGAGTCGTCAAGCTACGGAGCAGGAGGGGAGGACCAAGCCGGCCGGGAGGATAGGGGACTTTGAGGAGGGTTGAGGAGGCAAATCAGGAGATCGGAGGGAGAAGGATTTAGCAGAGGGAAGAGATGATAGGATGGAAGAGGAGAGAGTAGCGGGAGAGAGAGAGCGAAGGTTGCGACGGCACATTACCATCTGAGGAGTGGCAGAGTGAGTAGTGTTGGAGGAGAGCGAGAGAGAAAAGGATACAAAGTAGTGGTCGGAGACTTGGAGGGGAGTTGCAGTGAGATTAGTAGAAGAACAGCATCTAGTAAAGATGAGGTCAAGCGTATTGCCTGCCTTGTGAGTAGGGGGGGACGGTGAGAGGGTGAAGTCAAAAGAGGAGAGGAGTGGAAAGAAGGAGGCAGAGAGAAATGAGTCAAAGGCAGACGTAGGGAGGTTAAAGTCACACAGAACTGTGAGGGTTGAGCCATCCTCAGGAAAGGAACTTATCAAGGCAACTACTACTACTAGTACTACTACTACCACTACTACTACTACTACTACTACTACTAATACTACTACTACTACTACCACTACTACTACTACTACCACTACTACTACTACTACTACTACTACTACTACTACTACCACCACTACTACTACTACTACCACTACTATTACTACTACTACTACTACTACTACTACTAATACCACTACTACTACCACTACTACTACTACTACTACTAATACCACTCTACTACTACTACTACTACTACTACTACTACTACTATACCACTACTACTACTACTACTACTACTACTAATGCCCTACTACTACTACTACTACCTACTACACTACTCCTACACTACTACTACCACTACTACTACTACTACTACCACTACTACTACACTACTACATACTACTACTACTACTACTACCACTACTACTACTACTACTACTACTACTACTACTACAACTACTACTACTACACTACTACTACTACTCTACTAACGACTACTACCTACTCCCACTACTACTACTACTACTACCCACTACTACTACTACTACTACTACTACCACTACTACTACTACTACTACTACTACCACTACTACACTACTCACTACTACACTACTACTACTACACTACCACTACTACTACTACACTACCACTACTACTACTAGCCACTACCACTACTACTACTACTTACTACCACTACTACTACTACTACTACTACCACTACTACTACTACTACTACTACCTACTACCACTAACTACTACTACTACTCCACTACTCTACTACGACTACTACTACGACTACTACCACTACTAACTACTACCTACCCCTACACTACTACTACTCCCCAACCACACCACTACTACTACTACTAAATACTACTACTATACTACTACTGCTACTAAACCACTCTCTACTATACTACCACTCTACAACTACTATACCCCTACTTACCTTTCTACACCCACCTACAACTCTACTACTACCCCAATCTACTACTATAGCTACTCTACTACAAATACACTAATAAGCTACTACTACTAATACCATACTACTTTCTCCTCACACTCTACACTATACTGCTATACCACCCTACTCTAATACTACCTCTACTACTAACTACTACTACCTACATACACTACTACCCCCTCTACTAACCCCCTGCCATTTCTACTACTTACTACTACACTCTACTACACTACACTACCCTACTATACACCCCCCTACACTACTACCACTACCCACTTTCTACTACTCTACTACTACATACTCTACGGGGCTGCGCAAATACACTACTATACACTACTCTACTACTCTGCTACACTACACTACAATAGGGTTACACTACCAATACCATACTCTACACTACACTACTACTACTAATACTACTATACACTACTAACCACCAAAACCACAACCAACACACCCACTAACCCCCACACCCAACTACTACACCAACCACACACACACCACAACCACAAACAACACACACACAAACACACCACACACACAAAACACAACACACCCCACCACACACACCACCAAAACACAAACCACTAAACCACACACAACCACCACACAACACACCCAAACAAACACACACACCACACACCACCAACGAAACCAACACCACACACCCCACCAACCCCACAACCTACACACACACCACCACACAACACGAAACCACACAACACCACACCACTACACATACCTCTTTACTCAAATTCTACTATTACTACTTAAAATACTACTTACTACTACTACACTAATACTACTACTATACTACCCCCAAACCACTACTACTACTACTACCACTCCCACCCCTCCACACTACCACTACAAAAACGACTACACTACTACTACTACTAACTACTACTAAACAACCTACTATAATACTATACCCATTTACTACTACACTACTACCCCCCATTACACATCACTACCCCTATACTACCACTACTTACCACTAATACTACTACACTACTATACAATAACCCCTTAACTTACCCCTACTACTTTACACTACTCTTACTCTACACTACAAAATACTACACTACCACACTACACTACACCCATTACGGAATACCATCCCCCTACACATTAAAACTATATAATACTAATACTACTCTACTACTACTACATAATAATTTTAAACTACTACTAATACCATCAATACTACACTACTTAAAACTTTCTCCCTATACACACACTACACTACCAAATACCCCCACACCACATTACACTACCAAACACCACTACCACTACTCTATCCTACCACTACTAATAAAACTACTACACCACTACTACTCTACTACAATTTAAAACTAAACCCATTTCTACTAACTACTACTACTACCCCTATAAAAACTCACTATTACTACTACACTACTACTATACTACCCCCTATTTCTACTACACTTACCCTACCCCCCAAACATACTACTATCCCCAAAACCCCATTTAAATACTATACTACACATAACACACTATACTACACTATACCAAAACCAATACACTCTACTACCCTACCCAACCCCACTATACTACTAATATCTACCTATACTAAAACTTACTACTCCACATATACTACACTTCTACCATACCACCACTAACCCCCATACATACTTAAAATACTACTAAAAACCCTTTCTACTATTCCCTTTTCTTTCTACCCACTAATTTACTACACTCTACCACTATCCACCTACACTACTACTATACTACTAACTTAAATTCTACCACACTACCCCTACTAACTAATACATACTTTTTTACTAACACCACTTCTACTATTTCTATTTTTCCACTTACCACCCTCCCCACCAGAGCTTCCCCTGTAGACACTACAAGGGGACATTTTTTCCTAGTTGGCTATACCCAGTTCCCAATCGATAAATGAACCAGATGCTATAAATCCTCAATCAATCAAATCAATTTAGGAACCTAGAGTAAAACGCCATGCACTTGTATGACTCTTAAATGATATGGTTTCAGAACAATAAAGCAAGTTTATTCAAAATTCCAGAAACGGGCGTAAAGAAATCCAAATTATTCAAGCATTTATGATAAGCAAATAAATCGTCAATACGATACCTCCAGCATCCTTGTCTAACTCCCCCGTTAGACTACCAATGTTTATCTATGACGATTTCATGAGAAGCACCACATTTACAAGAAGAAACGGTCTCGTACCTCTACAACTATAAAGCATCCTTTGTCTCCTCCCTCAGGATGATCAGTCCCTCAGTTGTTGATGAAACTCTTAACAGCAAATTAAAGACTATCAATAAGGTAACCTTAAGGATTCCTTCTAGAACTTTACTTTAACACTCTGTTATAAAAATCAAAATATAATAAATATCAAAGTGTGTATATATAAGCTAAAAAATATACAGCAATCTTCTTCTTCAGGTAACAGGTTCTTCTAACAAGTCAAAACGATGCCAACAAAAAATTCCACCATCTTTTATATCCAAATCCTTTCCCCAGTGAGGCATTTTTGGTTATCACTTACACCCCTGCAGTTATCACTCCTCCCTTTATCTAAACCAAACCTTCCTCATGCCCCAGGCTTAGGCGAGTCGGGACGCAACTGGCCTCCGACCGTTTCTGCTAAAAAATATCACAGAACTAAGCCTACTATTCTGACAATAAGGAGAAGAAGAAGAAAAACAGGGTGCCATTTGGGACTCAGGCCTAGTAACATAATAACAGATCTGGGTGGAGTGTTCCATTGGTTAAATGACTCAAATGTAAATGTTAGAGTCAATAAACTGTTAAGAGCTAGCACAGTCAAGGGAAATATATATATATATATATACCTGAGTACTGTGGGTTGTGGGGTGTGTGTTGTTTGTGTGGTGTGTGTTGTTTGTGTGGTGTGTGTTGTGTGCGTGAACAGCCTGCGGTAAACTGATGAAGATCACTGGACCCGTGACAGTGAAGACCTCTGGGACACGGTTTGGAGCCTGGATGACAGATCCACAGGCTTCCCCTACAAACAATAGGGTAAGGGGAGGTAGGGATGGGGGGAGGGAGGGAGGGAGGGAGGGAGGGAGGGAGGGATGAGGGTGCATATCTGTGTTTTTGACTACAGCAAGTGTGACCAATCAGCTAATCTTCCTCCTGGAGAGCTAATCATCCTCCTGGAGAATTACTGATAGACACCACATCCTATTAGTCAGAACCTTGAATCAGGTGTGTTTAGAGCAGGGCTGGAGCAAAAGCCTCCTACACCCAGTAACTATCCAGGAGGAGGGGCTGCAGCATACTCCACAGTCTGGTGATGGAAAGGACAGACAGCCAGAATAGCATTTTAGACTTCCCCAAATAGTTTGTAGCTATGTTCTACCTTACCTACTGTGTGCTTTATTCTGACTAATGTACAGTTGAAGTCGGATGTTTACATACACCTTAGCCAAATACATTTAAACTCAGTTTTTCACAATTCCTGACAATTAATCCTAGTAAAAATTCCCTGTTTTAGGTCAGTTAGGAACAACACTTTATTCTAAGAATGTGAAACGTCAGAATAATAGTAGAGAGAATTATTTATTTCAGCGTTTATTTCTTTCGTCACATTCCCAGTGGGTCAGAAGTTTACATACACTCAATTAGTATTTGGTAGCATTGCCTTTAAATTGTTTAACTTGGGTCAAATGTTTCGGGTAGCCTTCAACAAGCTTCCCACAATAAATTGGGTGAATTTTGGCCCATTCCTCCTGACAGAGCTGGTGTAACTGAGTCAGGATTGTAGGCCTCCTTGCTCGCACACGCTTTTTCAGTTCTGCCCACAAATGTTCTATAGGATTGAGGTCAGGGCTTTGTGATGGCCACTCCAATACCTTGACTTTGTTGTCCTTAAGCCATTTTGCTTTAACTTCCTGACTGATGTCTTGAGATGTTGCTTCAATATATCCACATAATTTTCCTTCCTCATGATGCCATCTATTTTGTGAAGTGCACCAGTCCCTCCTGCAGCAAAGCACCCCCACAGCATGATGCTGACACCCCCGTGCTTCATGGTTGGGATGGTGTTCTTCGGCTTGCAAGCCTTTCCCTTTTTCCTCCAAACATAACGATGGTCATTATGGCCAAACAGTTCTATTTTTGTTTCATCAGACCAGAGGACATTTCTCCAAAAAGTACGATCTTTGTCCCCATGTGCAGTTTCAAACCATAGTCTGGCTTTTTTATGCTGGTTTTGGAGCAGTGGCTTTCAGGTTATGTCGACATAGGACTCGTTTTACTGTGGATATAGATACTTTTGTACCTGTTTCCTCCAGCATCTTCACAAGGTCCTTTGCTGTTGTTCTGGGATTGATTTGCACTTTCCACACCAAAGTATGTTCATCTCTAGAAGACAGAACGCGTCTCCTTCCTGAGCAGTATGACGGCTGCGTGGTCCCATGGTGTTTATACTTGTGTACTATTGTTTGTACAGATGAACGTGGTACCATCAGGCATTTGGAAATTGCTCCCAAGGATGAACCAGACTTGTGGAGGTCTACAATCTCAGAGGTCTTGGCTGATTTCTTTTGATTTTCCCATGATGTTAAGCAAAGAGACACTGAGTTTGAAGGTAGGCCTTGAAATACATCCACAGGTACACCTTCAATTGACTTAAATGATGTCAATTAGCCTATCAGAAGATTCTAAAGCCATGACATCACTTTCTGGAATTTTCCAAGCTGTTTAAAGGCACAGTCAACTTAGTGTATGTGAACTTCTGACCCACTGGAATTGTGATACAGTGAATTATAAGTGAAATAATCTGTCTGTAAATGCACAGAGTAGATGTCCTAACCGACTTGCCAAAACTATAATTTGTTAACAAGAAATTTGTGGAGTGATTGAAAAACGAGTTTTAATGACTCCAACCTAAGTGTATGTAAACTTCCGACTTCAACTGTACATAGAAGGTAGACCTTTAAATTGTTAATGTCCTTGTGCTATTTTGTTCTAACCCAGGTCTGGTACATGGATAGCTACAACAACAACAAGATAGTCAAAGAGTACAAGTCCATAGCAGACTTTGTGTCCGGGGCCGGGTCTCGAACCTACAACCTGCCGTTCAAGTGGGCCGGGACCAACCACGTGGTGTACAACGGCTCTCTTTACTACAACAAGGTCCAGAGCAACATCATGGTGCGCTACCACTTCGAGACGGGCCGCGTGGTGACCCAGAGAGGCCTGGAGAACGCCGGCTTCCACAACGTCTACCCTTACACCTGGGGAGGCTTCTCCGACATAGACCTCATGGCCGACGAGCTGGGCCTGTGGGCCGTCTACGCCACCAATCAGAACGCCGGAAACATCGTCATCAGCCAGCTCCACCCGGAGACGCTACAAATCCTCGGAACCTGGAACACGGAATATTCCAAACGGAACGCGGGGGAGTCCTTTATGATCTGCGGAACACTCTACATCACTAACTCTCACCTGACTGGTGCTAAGGTCTACTATTCATACTCCACCAAGACCTCCAGCTATGAGTACACAGACATCCCCTTCCACAACCAGTACTTCCACATGTCCATGCTGGACTACAACGCCAGGGACCGGGCTCTGTACGGCTGGAACAACGGACACCAGGTTCTGTTCAACGTCACGTTGTTCCACATCATCAAGACAGAGGATGATTCCTGAGAAGGAAAAACTCAGAGGAACTCAGAGGAACCCACTGGAACACTGACTAACATTCCTCGTGTTCCGGTGTTCCGTCAGTCATTGTGGGAGTTCTATTGTTGGGTCTCTGCATTTTATTTGTGCTCTCTTCTTTTGCCAATCCATCTTCCGCTCTATTGCTTTCTTTTCGAATTCCTAATGCAAGGCTTAACATTGATAGTTGCCTGGATGCCCAGGGTTACCGAAGACTTTGGTCTCCAAACTCTGAAAAACTGGAAAAAGTCTCAGCACACTTCCTGTCGATTGCAAATTTATTTTAATAGTAATTTGGCCTCCAAACATCAATTGACTCCCAATGTCATGACAAACTCATAACCTTCTCTGGTAGTTCTACATAGCAACCCCATTTCAAAACAAGCATCTGGCCCTCTAATGGTGAAATTGTGCCCTGAGAGCCTTCTGTCTTCAGTTCTCTTATTTACTGTGTGTAACTCTCTTTGTTCACAACCCTTCATTTGGACTGTGTTCCTCTCCTCTCAGCTGCTCTACACTGGACCCTGTAAGTCTGAGAACATGAGAGATTTAGTGTAGGGTTAGTCAATTTGAATTCAAGCCAGTCAATTCAGGAAGTAAACTGAAATTCCTATTCAATAATTGAAAAAAAGGCCATCTACTCTCAATGATTTCTCAATAAACTGAAAAGGTTTAAATGTTTTTTGAATTTTACATTTAAAACACTTCCTGAATTGACTGACTTCAATTCCAATTGACCCCAACCCTGATTGGATGGGTTTGGGTAGCATGCCTCTGATTGGGTGGGCTTGGGTAACATGCCTCTCTGTACAGTAGCTTTTAAATCCATAGCAACAGTTTCAATAGGAGTATGCCTTATTCAGTCTGTTCTGTAAGCCCTTAGGATAGCAGGTGTCCTGAATGTCTAGCTGTCCCCATAGCATCTATAACTGGTGTCCTGAATGTCTAGCTGTCCCCATAGCATCTATAACAGGTGTCCTGAATGTCTAGCTGTCCCCATAGCATCTATACCTCTATATGGCTTGCATCCCAAAATGTCACCCTAGAGCTCTGGTCAAAAGTAATGCATCGTATAGGGAATAGGGTGCTATTAGAGACGCAGCCTATGGTTATCCTGATAGCATCTATAACTCTGTCTGTGGCCTCTCTGTCAACAACCATTTCACTCTCTCCCATTGTGACACACATCATTATTACTGTTGTAGTATACTGCATAGCAGGGTGTCAAACTCATTCCATGGAGGGCCTAGTGTCTGTGTCCTTTCAATTAAGACCAGGTGAGGGGAGTTAGTGACCTTATTTCATCAATCAAAGAGAAGGGAGGAGTGAAAACCCGCAGACATAGTACCTGGATGAACAGGAAAACATTCATTTACATAAATAATTAGTATTACATTATGAATATAAAGTTATTGTTTTTGATTAAGTTATGTAGCTAGAGTATTGATTTGCTGACAATATTGGTTTGTGTTTTTGTTTTTTAAACGCTACGGCACTATATACACCATTGTATCTTTATTTTGTAACTTGATGGTGTCACGTCTCCTCCCGTTGCTCCCCTCCGGCGCTCTGATTCGCCGGTCTACTGAGCCACCGGTCTGAGCGCACCACCTCGGCAAACACAGGAATGGAAACCCAACGCACCCTAATCACCTCCAGCGCACCTGCACCTCATCATCTCATCACCACCACTATTTAGCCCTGGACTGTTCAGTGTTGTGTTGTGTGTGATTGTTAGCGTCGTGTCGTTTACTTGCTCTTTGTTATTCTCTTTCTCATTGTTAAGTAAACTTTTACCTTGTTGATTCCCGCGTCTGCGTCCTGCCTCTTCGTATCCTCAGTACTCGTCACAGATTTACACACCTCTCACGTAAATGGATGCAGCAGGTAATCCTCGTGGAGTTTCCCAGCACCTCGGCCAGCAGTAGCTTGCCCAGTTGAACGCCTCTATGCAGGAAGTGCTCTAAACTCTGCATAATCTTCCCAGCGCTCCGGTTACACCTCAGGGAGCGGCGAGTGCACCCAGTCCACCTGTTCCCGTGCTATCACCAACTTCTGAGGGACCCCTCGCCCTACCGGAGCGCTATGACGGTAAAAACTGCTAAATGTAGCGGCTTCCTGTTACAGGTTTCACTTTATCTGGTGCGTCAGCCTTGGGCATATTCAAGCCAGGATAGCGCTGGTGATTTCGCTACATAAAGGAAAGGCGCTGGATTGGGCCACGGCAGTCTGGGAAGGAGGTGAGGCCGTGGCGCTTCCCTACTCCACCTTCCTCGCTCGGTTCAGGGCGGTGTTTAGATCATCCCACGGAGGGAAAGGACGGGGGTGAACGTCTCCTCCAGCTACAACAGGGGGAGGGGCCCGCGTCCGAGTACGCTCTGAGCTTCCGCACGGTGGCGGCGTCTTCTGGCTGGAATGAGCGCGCTCTGCGCACGACCTTCAGGAGAGGCTTACGGGAGGACATCAAAAAGGAACTTGCATGTCGGGACGATGAGATGGACCTTGATACCCTCATCACCACGTCCATCCGTCTTGATGACATGTTGAGAGAGACAGACGGCGTTCCCAACACCTCCCGGAACCTCGACGCTCACCTCATCTGAGCTATGGAAGCCGCCCTGCCTCCGAGTCCTCACCGATGGAGGTGGGAAGCACCCCCTACACCACCAAGGACCACAGATCTCCTGGCGGCTCCCAATCTAGGCGGTATGACTCCCGTCACCGCTCTGTGAGTGTTACCTCATCTCCTATCACAAAACCATTGTTTTTAGTTCCCATAACGGTGACTGGTTATTCCTTCTCTTCCATTTCCACCGCAATGATAGATTCCGGATCAGCGGGGAACCTTTATAGATAGGGAGCTGGTCTCTGAATGGGGGTTGCCCACCGTGCCATTGCCTTCTCCGCTACACGTCACCTCGCTGGACAATAAACCACCTGGATCAGGCACCATTACGCAACGTCACTCTCCCCATCACCATCACCACGAGGAGCTGTCATTCCACATCGTCACGTCACCCCTTCACCGGATCGTCTTGATATTGCCCTGGCTCAGACTACACAACCCCACCTTCAATTGGATCACCAAGAGGATCCCAGCCTGGTCCCCCTCGTGCCGGAAGACCTGCCTGCCGGTGGTTTGCTGTTCCACGTCAGGGGAGAGTCCGGAGTCCACCCTCCAGCCCAACATTCCACGTGAGTACGCAGATCTCTCCGATGTCTTCTCTTCATTAAAAGCTATGTGTCTCCCTCCTCACAGGCCCTGGGACTGCTGGAGGCCAAACTCCCCCCAAAGAGTCGCATTTACTCCCTTTCCATCCTGAAACAGGGGTTCATCATACGCTCTACCTCTCCTGCCTCCGCCAGCTTCTTCTTCGTGGCCAAAAAAGAGGGAGGACTGAGGCTGTGCATTGACTACAGGGGGCTGAATGCAGTCACCACCAAGTACCGAATTCCACCAACAGGCCATCTCCTTCATGGGATACAGGATCAGCCCTGTACTGTCACGTCTCCTCCCGTTGCTCCCTTCCGGCGCTCTGATTCGCCGGTCTACTGAGCCACCGGTCTGAGCGCACCACCTCGGCAAACACAGGAATGGAAACCCAACGCACCCTAATCACCTCCAGCGCACCTGCACCTCGTTATATCATCACCACCCCTATTTAGCCCTGGACTGTTCTGTTTGATGTTGTGTGTAATTGTTAGCGTCGTGTCGTTTACTTGCTCTTTGTTATTCTCTTTCTCATTGTTAAGTAAACTTTTACCTTGTTGATTCCTGCGTCTTCGTCCTGCCTCTTCGTATCCTCAGTACTCGTCACAGATTTACACACCTCTCACGTAAATGGATGCAGCAGGTAATCCTCGTGTAGTTTCCCAGCACCTCGACGAGCACCAGCAGCAGCTTGCCCAGTTGAACGCCTCTATGCAGGAAGTGCTCCAAAATAATTGATTGTCTGTGTGATATGCTATTATATTATGTTAATGATCTCTATCAGAACAAACTGAAGCCTTTCTAACCAGAATACAATTAATTGAGTAAGAGTAAATTAGCTACCATGGTGATTATGATCCTATCAGGTCTGACCTGAGTATGGTGTCTGTCTGTCTGCCTTTCTGCCTGCCTGCCTGTCTGTCTGCCTGACTGCCTGTCTGTCTGTCCAGGGCTGTAGGGACTTATCTGTGTGTGTGTGTAGATGACCCCCCACACCAACGCACCCTGACCTGCTCCAGGGTGAAGTTTCCCCTAGGCACAGGTCTAGGATCAGCTTCCCCTCCCCCCCAATCCTAACCTTTACCATTAGTAATGCAAAACCTAACCCAAGATCAGCACCTAGGGGCAACAGCCTGGCCTGGATGGCTGACAGGATCAGCACCTAGGGGCAACAGCCTGGCCTGGCCTGGATGGCTGACAGGATCAGCACCTAGGGGCAACAGCCTGGCCTGGCCTGGATGGCTGACAGGATCAGCACCTAGGGGCAACAGCCTGGCCTGGCCTGGATGGCTGACAGGATCAGCACCTAGGGGCAACAACAGCTAGCCTGGCCTGGATGGCTGACAGGATCAGCACCTAGGGGCAACAGCCTGGCCTGGCCTGGATGGCTGACAGGATCAGCACCTAGGGGCAACAGCTAGCCTGGCCTGGATGGCTGACAGGATCAGCACCTAGGGGCAACAGCCTGGCCTGGCCTGGATGGCTGACAGGATCAGCACCTAGGGGCAACAACAGCTAGCCTGGCCTGGATGGCTGACAGGATCAGCACCTAGGGGCAACAGCCTGGCCTGGCCTGGATGGCTGACAGGATGCAGGATGAAGTGACGCTTCAGGTCAAATCAACGTTGAATTTGAAAATATAACATCTGGATGAGGAGGGGACAGAAGAAAGAGGGGGAGGAGGAAGAAGAGGAGGAGGAGGAAGAGGGGACCAGACTTGGAAAATGAGAAAATGTATAACGTTGCTAAATCAAACTTTGTGTGTTTGCTTAAGCAG